ACAGTACATAGTTTCAGTATTCGAGTATCATAGGATTCATTATTTTAAGATTGAGATTAATATTTCTGTTTATGGTCAAATGGGTGAGTGAGTGTAAGTGTGAACCACCAGGTGGTATTCGTGTAGTTAGTTGATGGGGTTTATCAGGGAGATAAGATGTTTTCTAATGGTAGTTTTGAAGGTGAAGAATGTGTCTGCAGTTCTAGAGTTCTCAGGTAGGGTGTTCCAGATTTTAGGGCCTTTGACATACATTGAATTTTTGTTAAAGGTTTAGTCGGAGATGGGGAATGTCGTAGAGATGTTTGTGTCTGGTGTTATGCCTGTGGGTTCTGTCACAACTATCAAGAAAGCATTTTAGGTCAAGGTTGATATTGGAGTTTAAGGCCTGTAGATGTAGATTGCACAGTAGTAAGTGTGGATGTACTGAACAGGGAGTAAGTTTAGATCTATGAGAGTGGGGGGGTGTGTTGCCAGGGATGGGATTTAGTGATTATTCTTACTGCAGCTTTTGTTGGGTTATTATTGGCTTTAGGTGTGTTGCTGCAGTTGATCCCCAAGCACAAATAGCATAGGTGAGGTATGGATAAATAAGTGAGTGGTATAGTGTGAGAAGGCATTTTGCGGCACGTAGTATCGTATCTTGGAGAGGATCCCAACCGTTTTGGATACTTTTTTGGTTATGTGTTGGATATGGGTGCTGAAATTCAGGTTGTTGTCAAGGTATAGGCCTAGGAATTTGCCCTCATTATGTCTGGTAATTTGAGTGTTGTCGATCTTAATGTTAATTTGTGCATCTCCTGCTCTGCTACCAAACATAATATAGTAGGTTTTGTCAGTGTTAAGCGTAAGTTTATTGGCTGTCATCCAAGTCGATATTTTGATCAGCTCCTCATTAACAATGGTGTTGAGGGTGGCAAGATTAGGGTGAGAGATGACATAAGTCGTGTCGTCAGCAAAGAGAATGGGTTTCAGGTGTTGGGATACGTTTGGAAGATCATTGATGTATATGAGGAAGAGCAGGGGACCAAGGACACTTCCCTGCGGAACTCCAGTATCACGTGGCCGTGTTGTTGATGCTGTGTCTTTAATGGTAACATACTGATACCTATTAGTAAGGTAAGATTTGAAATAAGCAAGCGCATGGCCTCTTATACCATAATGGTCAAGTTTGTGGAGTAGGATGTCATGGTCTACTGTGTCAAAAGCTTTTCTTAGGTCAATAAAAATTCCTAGTGGATATTCCTTATTTTCCAATGCTGTGTAAAGCAGATCTAGCATTTTTATGATTGCATCATAGTGCTTTTATTTTTCCTAAATCCAAATTGGCAGGGGTTTTGAGTATGTTTTGTGTGTTATAAATGAATATAGTCTCCTGTGACGAGTTTCTCAAAGATTTGGATAGCATGGTAAGTTTGATATTGGCCTATAGTTGTTTAAGTCTGTAGGGTCACCACCTTTATGTATTGGTGTAACCCTTGCCATCTTGAGTAGTTTCGGGAAGGTGCTAGTTCTAGTGACTTGTTAAAAATAATGGAAATAGCATGCGAAAGGATATGGGCCGCTCGCTTGTACAGTAATGGTGGGACATTAGAACAGATTCCTGAGTTGTTTTTAAGTGACTTTATAATCTCGGTGACTTCCGAGGGCTCAGTTGGTGCAAGTAGAAGGAATTTGGGAAATTCCCATCTAGGTAGTCCCCGGCATGGGCATTAGTATGTGGGATTTATTGGCGGAGATTAGATCCTAATGGTTGAGAGAAGGTCGTTTATCTTGTTAGCTGTGTCAGTGGGATGTAGTGGTGTTTCATTAGGTTTAGTTAGGACAATATTCTTGGTTTTTCAGTTTGTGGGTCCTAGAATCTGAGAGAGTGTTTTCCAGTCTTTTTTAATCTCCTCTAGTGTCTGTGAATCTACTGGAGTAGTATAGTTGTTTGGCTTTCTTTATTACTTTGAGAGAATGATGAATAGTGTTTAAAAATATCTTTGTGTATTAACCCCTGTCTATATTGCTTTTCATATTGGTGTTTCTTGTCAATGGATTTCAGAATGGTGCTGGTTAGCCATGGGCAACCAAGCCATTTGTTTGTGATCTGTTTCGTTTTTATAGGACATGTTTGTTGTATAGTCTAAGTAATTTGTTAAGAAAAATTTGTCTGTCCAGTCATCAATACCATTGGCCTTGGAGAATTCTGTAGGCCAGTCAACAATCTCTAGGTCAGTTGTGAACTTCCTTATTGAGACCTCGTCATGGGTCTAAATGAGACTTTGTTGTTTCAAGTGGTGGTTTATTAATGTTTGTCAGGAGGAAGGTGGGGTAGTGGTCTGTAGTGCTATCTGTGATTTCCCTGTTTTTAAGGGGGGCTAGTATATTGGTCCTATGTGGTCTATTATGGTTGCACTTGTCTCAGTGAGCCTGGTTGGTTTAGTTATTGTTGGTATGGAAGTGTGTTGTTCATATTGTTGATGAAATCAGTTACAGGCTGATATCTAGTAAGCCAAGGTTGATGTTGAAGTCTCTACCCTAAGAGAAGGTGGTGCTTATTCATTTGTCTGTTTGTTATTTGTGACTTTAATTTCTCACTGAAATTTGGGATGTTTGTGTGAGGTATCCGGTAATGGCCCCGATTGTTATAGGGTCTTAAGGTTTTTTACATTAAAATTAGCAAAAATGTATTCCCCATAATTCATCACTAAAGCAAGTGGTGTTAATACAAGTTTAATTGGTTAGAGTAATAGATTGCAATCCCACCCCCAACTTGGTTTGGTCTGCAGTTGTGAATTGCTGTGTATCTGGTAGAGGGTAGATATCTATTGTGTCCCGCTTAAGCCAGGTCTCAGTAAGAATAATGCAGGAGAAGGGTGTCTTTAGTGATTCAAGGAGTGCCAGGAGGTCATCATAGTGTTTGCTTAAGGACCTGATGTTGTAGTTAAGTACTGTAGGCTTTTTTGCATTGTTTAGGATAGTGCTGGCTTGTGTGCTGTGTAAATAAAGGCAGTTACTTTCCAATAGGTTTTGATTGGGTGTCAGATTATGGAGGTTTAGATTTAGGGTCAACGTGATCAATCATCTCTAAAGGTTTAAATTATGGTTATTTATATCCTGAGTTATGTGTTGAGTTCTAGTACTGATATTTTGTGGTGGGAAGCTTGGATAAGTAAATAGCTAGAGTATTTTGGTCATTTAGAGTATAGTCACTACTACACATAATGAAGTTGATGTTGTCTATGTGTTGTGCTGGAATGAACTAAAGTACAACTAGGTATAAACTAGTAATATAAAAATACAAATTTAAAATAGAACAAGACTCTCACTTGTAATTGCACTAAGGTCTAATATAATGACTTTTGTGGAGTCTTTGTTTTGAGCTAGAATGAGCTATAGTACAACTAGATTTAATCTAATAATATAAAAATACAAATTAAAAATAGCACCAGTCTCTCACTAGTAATTGCAATATGGTCTAATATAATGAATTTGGTGTTGACTATAGTACAACTGAGTTTAATCTAATAATATAAAAAAGGCACAAGACACTCAATTGTCTTACCTCTAATTCTTTCAATAATAACCCTACTGTACACTTTTCCTGGTATATTCAATAAACTTATTCCTCTATAATTTTTACAATATCTTTTGTCCCCCTTCCCTTTATATAAAGGGTCTATACATGCTCTCTGCCAATCCCTAGGTACCTTCCCCTCTTTCATACATTTATTAAACAAAAGTACCAACCACTCCAACACTATATCTCCCCCTACTTTTAACATTTCTGTCATGATCCCATCAGTTCCAGCTGCTTCACCCCCTTTCATTCTCTGTAATGCCTCACGTACCTCCCCCACGCTTACATTCTGCTCTTCTTCACTCCTAAAAGATGATATACCTCCCTGGCCAGTGCATGAAATTACCGCCTCCCTTTCTTCCTCAACATTTAAAAGTTCCTCAAAATATTCTCGCCATCTACCTAATACAGTGGACCCCCGACATTCGATGGCATTGACATTCGATAAATCCAACATTCGATGCATTTTAACGAAAAATTTTTGCCTCAACATTCGATGGAAAACCCGACATTCGATACGATTCGTACGAGACGTGTCCACGTGTGGCCTGAACTGCACCGTGTGTGCCAGTGTTTACAGCCAGTGTGCACGCATCTAAGGATACATTCGGTGCATTCCATATTATCCATATTATCACTGTTTTTGGTGCTTGTTTCTGCAAAATAAGTAACCATGGGCCCCAAGAAAGCTTCTAGTGTCAACCCTTCGAGAAAAAAGGTGCTAATGACTATTGAAATGAAGAAAGAGATAATTGCAAAGTACGAAAGTGGAGTGCGTGTCGGAGTACATGATGATTTGGTAAAGAAATTGCCTGCAACTAGTGGTGATGTGAGTGAATTAAAGGCCAGCAAAGGTTGGTTTGAAAGATTAAGAATCATAATGGCATACACAGTGTGGTAAGGCATGGTGAGGCTGCCAGTTCAAGTCCTAATGGAAGGGGATTCCCCTTCTAAACACTAACACCATCCACACTCTCCCCTCCTATCCCATCCCATCAATCATCACCAGATCTTTATTAAAGGTAAGTCTCAATTATTCTATTGTTATTAATCTATTGTTATTGTTGTTATTGTAATTATTCTATTGCATTAAACTTAATATTTCATGTGGTAAATTTTTTTTTTCATACTTTTGCGTGTCTTGCACGGATTAATTTGATTTCCATTATTTCTTATGGGGAAAATTCATTCGACTTTCTATATTTTCGACATTCGATAGCTCTCAGGAACGGATTAGTATCGAATGTCGAGGGTCCACTGTACCTCCCTCTCTCCATCTACTAACTTCCCTACTCTGTTTTTAACTGACAAATCCATACGTTCCCTAGGCTTTCTTAACTTGTTTAACTCACTCCAAAATTTTTTCTTATTTTCATTAAAATTTCTTTTCATTGAAACTAAAAGATGTAATAATTAAAAAATCATACTTATGTTTCAGATCATGTACGCCAGAGAGCTGTGGATCTTGTTGCACGAGCATACACATCCATCAGTGCTGAAGACTTTGCTCAGTTAGTGGGTATGAGCGTAGATGATGCCGTGATAGCTGCAAAGGGGCATGGCTGGGGATATGATGAGCCAACACGCATGATTCTTCCTGTTCCACAAGCTCCTCAACCCCATACCCCAACTCCATCTGAAGAACAGCTGCGTAGACTTGCAGACTACGTTTCATTTTTGGAAAACTGATTGTATTAAGATAGGTTAATATATTTATTGTCATATTTTGACAAGTGAATTAAAAGGTGCATGATTGAATATTAATGAAGAGTTTTTACTGTACCCCACATTGGAAATTGTATTTGGTTCTGTGTGAATGATTGTATTATATACTCCATTGCTTTTATGAACTCTTGCATGTTAATTATTATAATCAAAAAGAAGCGCTAAGCCACAACTTACATATTAAGTATAGTGCATTTTAAAGCATTGCTTCTACTTAACTTTCATGCTTTTGAATCCACTATTTAATTTACTGTAGTTAGCAGTTTTTCTGTATGATTATAATAATTTTATTTGCATTATTATACCCAAAACCAAGTGCTAAACCTACTAGGATATTTTAGTTTCAAAATTTAATACCAAAACTTGTTTTGTAAATGCTCAAGATACTGTATTTCAATTTATTTTACTACTTTATTGACAATGAATTGATTTTTGAGGTTTACATACAGTGTTGTCAGTGTCAAAAATAAATGTGCTTGAAAGCAGTACTTAATATCAGTGTTACTATGATATTCCATGCTGGTTTATTTTTATGAAATAAGGTAGGAAATGTTCTACAGTAGAAGCAGACATTTCTTAAAAGGAGTGTCCTGAGTGTTTCCTCTCTGGAAGAACTCTTGAGAGCTGTGTAAGTCACCTGACTACTTTCATTGCTTTCCCAGCAACTTTGCAACCACTGGAAACAATGTTGGCTTGGTTGGACCAACAATTGTTTTCTACCAAACTAAGCTAGGATTCTAATCTCTTCTTCCCACTGCTGTCATGTTTGGGAGGACTACTCTCTGGCTTATGCACTGAACACATCTCTCTCACCGATACCACGTGGAGAAATAACCAGCACCGCTTTGTGAGGACTCTGGTTACACTCTGTACCTGTCTATATTATTATTATAATCAAAAAGAAGTGCTAAGCCACAAGGGCTGTACAGCATACCTGTCTATAGTGATGACCATTTCAACCTCCTGAACACTGGCAAATTTAGTTTGTCATATCAGACATGGGTTATGAACCTCACTTGAAGTGTTTTTGCTCTATCCACAGTGCAGAGAGAGCTACCTGAGAGTTCTGCTTATGTAGCCTGCTTGTGATCCAGAGTAGGAACTTAAGAGGATTTCCACTCATAGCTCTGAAGATACAGCTGGTGTTATAATTAAAACTAAGCACTAAACCCTCAAGGGTCATACAGCACTGCAGGGTCAGATGTACTAAAGTTTGAATAAGCTAGACATCTGACATCGTCACCACTAACACCCTTACTTTATCTTCCTTGCTGATCGCCCCTAGTAAGGGCAGTGAGGAGTACTAGAGGAAGTATAATCAAAGTTTGTATAATAAATCTGTTGCTGTCAAAGAGACACTGAAACCAACTACATTCGCCTGGGGGATGTGGAAGGATCAGGTTAATAGACTGAAAAAAGACCTACAATAGAAGGGTGTTAGAGCAGTGACGACGTCGGAGGTGAATTCTGCATGCTCGCTGGTAGATGGGACAGTCTAATAGAATATGGCAAACTCAAATTGGAACTTGAAAAGTCGAAGTGTGGCACTGGGCATCTCTTATGAGATACCCATGAATGAGATGTGTATAACAGCTGCGAAGAGAGAAGAGAGTAGTCTCCCAACCACGACTTTGAAAAGAAGACCAGAAACCTAAACATGGCTTCATAGAATATAATTTATGAATCATTTCAGATTTACGTTGTTGCCAATGGCTGTGAAAGTGGCTAAAGATTACAGCAAAACAGTCTATTATTATAATAAAAAAAATTCATGGAAGGTTCCTTGATGTTGGTGAGGGGCTCTTGATTTAGGGAATTGGATCTGTGCTCCATTATTATTATTATAATCAAAAAAGAAGCGCTAAGCCACAAGGACTATACAGCGCTGCAGGGCAGGAAGGAAGCGAGGGCATCAGGTGGCAAAAGGGAGATGGATGAGTAATAGGTTACGGATAACAGCGGGGCAGTGGATGGTGAAAGGGTAAAGGGCAGCAAGAGACTGAACTAGAAAGGGCTGAGGGGAGCGCGAAAAGTATCATCAGAGTTTGTGGAGTAAATCAGTCGTTGTCAAGAAGTCAATGAGAGAGTCAGGATTAAAGGAGGGTCCATCAGCAAGAAGGGAAGGTAAAGAGAGAGTAGTAGAACGATGACGACGTTGGAGGTAAATTCTGCGTGCTCGTTGATAGAGAGGGCAGTCTAACAGAATGTGGCTAATCGATACTGGAACTTGACACTGCTCACAGAGAGGAACAGGGTGCCTCTCCATGAGTAAGACGAGTGTGGCCAATGCAAAGGCGGGAGAGAGTGGTCTCCCAACCTCGGCACTGATGACAAGAAGACGGCCAGTAACCTATGCTCGGTTTAACAGAATGAAGTTTGTTACCGAGCAGAGTTGACCAACGTTGTTGCCAACGGGTGCGAACGTGGGTAGCTATTGCAGCAAAATAGTCTGTGCTCCAGTTCCCCGAATTAAGCCTGAATGCCTTCCACATCCCCCCCCCCCAGGCGCTGTATAATCCTACGGGTTTAGCGCTTCCCCCTTGATTGTAATAATAATAATAATAATAATAATATAATAAAAAAAAGTGCTAAACCCACTAGGGTCATACAGCACTGCAGGGCAGGGGGTGATGCTGGATTATAAGGTAGTAAGGGTAGAGAGCATAACAAGAGGTAGAATTAGAAAGGACTGTGAGGAGTGCTAAAGGAAGTATCAAAGTTCGTGTAATAAACTGGTTGCTGTCAAAAATTCAACGAGGGAGTCTGAGCCAAAGGAGGGGCCATCAGCAAGGAAGGAACATAAAGTAAAGGTGTCAGAGTCGTGAAGATGTCAGGAAGTAAATCCTGCATGCTTGTTGAAAGACAGGACAGTCCAATAGAATATGGCAAACAGAAACTGAAACCCGACAATTCTCACAGTGGAATAGGGCGCCTCTCCACGAGATACCCATTAGTAAGACAGGTGTGCCAGATGCTAAGACAGGAGAGCACAGTCTCCCAACCTCGGCATCGATGAGGAGGAGGACGCCAGAATCCTAAACTTGGCCTGATGGAATATAACTTATGAGTGAAGGGATTCAGGGAAACCGGTTATTTTTATATAGCCGGACTTGAGTCCTGGAAATGGGAAGTACAATGCCTGCACTCTAAAGGAGGGGTTCGGGATATTAGTGGTTTGGAGGGATATGTTGTGTATCTTTATACGTATATGCTTCTAAACTGTTGTGTTCTGAGCACCTCTGCAAAAACATGATTATGTGTGAGTGAGGTGAAAGTGTTGAATGATGATGAAAGTATTTTCTTTTTGGGGATTTTCTTTCTTTTTGGGTCACCCTGCCTCAGTGGGAGATGGCCGACTTGAAAAAAAAAAAATGAGTTATATCGGATCAACAGTGTTGCCAACAGTTGCGAAGGCAGAGATTACAGCAAAATAGTCTGAGTATGGTATACCTCTACATGAAACTGGGAGATCATGTACTGCTGACCACGCAACAGAATCTGCCTGCTCATTGCCCTAAACATCCACACAACCAGAGGCCCAGCAGAAAACGATTTCTTTGTTTTCCTAGAAATCTGGCGCAACCAAAGTTGTATACAACTAGGAGAAGAAGCGAATTAAATTTTTTGATAGCCTGCAAAACACTAAAGGAGTCTGTAACTACCACAAATGTTGAGGTAGACCTGGATGCAATACATAATCCCAATGAGAATTGTATACAGTTCAGCTATAAAAATGCTAGCTGATTCTAATAAATGACCTCATACGAAACTGTCCAGGAACACTGTTGCAAACCTGACACTGTCAGAGGATTCAGAATCATCAATGTAACCTGCAATGGCATAAGACTGAGATTGGAAGTGGTTAAGAAAAAAAGGAGTGAGAAGCAACTGTTGGTAATTAAGGTTACGCACATGGCAGTGGGGAAGAACCGACCTGAACTGTCGGAACCTCCCAAGAGGAAAGAGAAAAGGTAGATGCCAGATGAACATATAAAGGGGGGCAACTAAAGAGAAACTAAGAGAGTGAATACAAAGAGAAACGGGGTGGCGATCAAATAATGGACCTCTACTAACGTCCGTTACCATCCTGTATGTAGAAGGATCGTGAAGGTCATGAGAGCGGACAAAATACTGGAGACAGTGGGCATCACACCGATCATGCAAAGATATAACGTTCACCTCTGCATATACTCTCTCGATAGGGAAGGACTGAAAAACACCTAGACACAAATGTAATCCCTGATGATGAATGGAATCAAATTTAGAAAAAATTGCGAGAGAGGCCACAAAATATATCTGGTTGCCATAATCTAGTTTTGATAGAATTAGGGCAGAATGAAGCTGAAGGAGAGGTCATTGATCCACATCCCAAGAAAGATGAGCGAGGGTTTTAAGGATGTTCAGCCGGCTATGGCAACTTGCTTTCAGGAAGGTAATGCGAGGTTTCCAGGACAACTGGCTATCAAACAGAAGGCTGAAAAATCTGTCTGTATCAATACAGGTACCGATTAAGAGGAAATATACCGAATATGTAGAATGAGTTGCATGAAGTACTGCAGAATAAAATGAGCAGAGACGCATTACAGAATATCTGAACACTCCAGTAAAACCTTCAATTACTACTGACAACTCTACCATCCACTTCAATGTAAGAGCCAGAGACATCCATCTCAGTCCAGCAGGGCCACAGCAACCCCTCTCCACATGCATTTCAAGATCAACATGCACTAACAAGCAGAATTTTAAGGTAAGAAAAAATGGTTTTACATAACTTTTTTATCTACATGTACTGTATAAACCTCACTACATCCAACTAAGCTAATTAGGGCCACATTAACCCTCTACACATTCCCAAATCAAAAGGCAACAACTATAATGTAAGGCATGATTTTTTTCATGAACTAGGAATTAAAAAAAAAAAAAAAGTTTGGCTTCTTTTAAGGTGTCAAGAACATAACCCTATTTTTCCCATATGTTCTTCAGTCCACATACCACTATTTCAAGTATAGTGCCAATGTTTAGAAATCTAACACTTGAAA